AAGAGTGAAAGGAGGAGAGGGAGAGAGAGCGAGCAGAGGTGGAGAGAAAGGAGGAGAGGGAGAGAGAGCAGGGGTAAGAGTGAAAGGAGGAGAGGAAGAGTGCAAGCAGGGTACGAGAGAAAGGAGCAGAGGAATTCCAGTACCTGTCCTGACCACAGACAGTGCAGTGAGGAACTGACACAGCAGTAACTGTTTACTCAGGATTTCCTGGATGTTCTCCTGCCCCTCCACTGAGAATCCCTGCACAGGAAACACCCAGTTAGAGCACAACAAAGCATCTGTCAGCAACTTAGGGCGCACAAACCCAGCAGAGTATCACGAATCACACACTCAGACACCCCTGCTCACACAAGGACAGAGACGGACACACATCCACTGCTCGCGCACGGACACACCGCCCAGTAACAGGCAGACAGCCTGGCTCCGCACCCCATCTGCCATGAGGAAGTGCAACCCGCGGCGCTCCGTACTCTCCAGGACAAAGTTCCGGAATGCGCTGATGTTCTCCGGGCGAGTGATGTCGCCATCGCCGTCCACACCCCCCTCGCCTGCAAAAGATTACCAGTTAGACAGGGAGGCCGAGAGGAGGATTTCTGAGATTGAGAGCAGGGCTTGGCGATATACCGAAAATGTACCGACATTGACGTTAAGACCGACCTCACCGACCTAATTTTGCTTATTTCGGTATGTTTGATAAAAGCTTTCTCCTCTGTGAGCTTTCATGAGCGGTCCCCTTAAAAAACTACAACACCCGGTAGTCATATCCAGTCACATGCTTCTGCCTCGACCACCCTTCGCTCTTCATTCAAAACACAGAGAAGCGTGCCGGGCGTGAGACAACACGAGCGCTCGTGCTGAACCCAGGCAGGCAGGGAAGACTCAAGTACAAATGAAGAAGAGCTGGTATCTAAAACAGATGCAGTGTCGATCGTTTGGTCATATTTTGGCTTCAGCAAACTGAACAAAGAGAAGTCAGATGTAAACTCTGTCGGAAAACCGTTTCTGCGCCCAAACGTCACACGAGCAACTTGTGTCATCGCTTGAAACACAACCATGTTGTGGAATACGAAGAGTGTGTGGCCAAAAAAAAAAGAGAGACTGACAAGCGCACTCATGGCCCAATTGATTCCCCCAAACAGCTGTCTCTAACACAAACATTTACTAACGCCACTCGATATGCAAAGGATTCACGCAGATGAAACGAGACAACTAACGCCATTACAGACTACACAGCGAAGGACATGGTCCCCATAGCTACAGTGGAACATAGAGGTCTCCAAAGACTCGTTCAAGGCCTTGACAAGAGATACGTCGTGCCCTCGAGAAAATATTTTTCTCAAACTGTGGTGCCCGACATTTATAAAAAAAGAAAGGATAGCTGCTGAGCTCAAATCAGCCACAGCAGATCTCTGGTCAAGTAGGCCGATGGAACCATACTTGAGCCTTACTTTGCACTCTAGCGACGGTGAATGGATCCTGCGCAGCAGATGCCTTCAGACAGCATGTTTTCCTGATGATCACCCAGCAGGTATGAGTGCACAGGGCCTGAAAGATGCCCTTTCCGCGTGGGACCTCCCGGAGGAGAGGCCGGTGTCCATCACGCCAGACAACGGCGCGAATGTCGTCAAAGCCACAGAGGTTAACAACTGGACACGGCTGCAGTGTTTTGGCTACAGATTGCACCTGGCAATCGGTGAGTTAGTAGCGTCATTTGAGTAGACACAATGCTACAACTGGATTAGTTCTACCCTTCATTAAGCAGGCTTAAATGCCATAATGTGTGTGAATATTAAAGTATAATTAATAGAATAATAAATAATCAATCATATTTATATAGCACTTCTCATATTCAGAGTGTAACACTGTGCTTTGTACAAAAAGTACTCCCATTTACAATACATATGACCAAACATATATATGAAAAAAAATCATTAAAATAATACCAGAAAATAACAAAAAAGATGATCTATCCTGGGCTTAAGAATAGTAAGCAATATTTTCCCCCCAGTATTTAATAGTCAAGGGGAAGCACAAGAAAAAAAAAAGACATTTCTCCTCATCTGTTAATTTTAAGATGGTGGCTGGTCAACACACCAGTTTGAAGCATGACTGAACCTTCACTATAATACCTCAGTTTTGTATGTGTATTGCGTTACAGAAAATGCTGCGAAAGATCAGCGTGTGGAGCGGGCAACAGGATTATGTAAGAAGACTGTCAGCGCCTTCTCCTATAGCTGGAAAACAAAAAGGCCTTGGGGATGGCACAAAAAGAACTCAACCTGCCACAGCACAAGTTGAAGACTGCATGTCTTCAACACAAGATGGGGGTCAATGCAGATAATGACTGAAAGGGTCCTTGAGCAAAACTAACAAGCCATCACACAGGTCCTCACTGATGACAAGACGTTAAGGCACCTTGTCCCGTCCTGGGCTGACCTGGGTATCTTAGGGGCTGTCACAAAAAGCTCCCTCCCCACTGATGGAGGTTACAGGTGCACTCTCAGGACAGGAGTATGTCACCGTCTCACTTGCGAAACCTGTCCTACGAATCCTCCGTGCACGAGCGCTGGCTCTGGAGGAAGATGACGCAGAGCGTCCCATCAGAGGGGAGTTACCGGACATGGCCGGTTTTGTCGACCCCAGATTTAAGACGACGTACACTGCTTCACACCACGTCCCCACCAGAAAGGAAAGAGTGAAAACGGAGATGGAGTCAGCTGCAGTCCCCCAGGAAAGTACCACAGGGAGCGCAGAGCCCCCTACTTGTCCAACGGAAGGAAAGAAGCCAAGGAGGTCATTAGGGAGCTTTTTCAAAGGAAATGAGGCAACACCTTCAACCACCTCCACTGTGTCGGTCCAGCAAACAGTGGAAGCAGCACTGAGCACCTGCTTGGTGTCTCCCATGCTGGATAGTAGTGCTGGGCGATAATTCGATAACGATAAATTATTTTTCTAAAATTTTTCTCGATATTATTTAAACAAAAGTTCGATAAATGTTCGATATATATGTTTATGCTTTATAGAAAATACTGCGTGAGTGCGCATGCGTGTTGCAGACCGGGCAGCTAACGTGCTGTCGTTTCCCCACACGGTGGTGGCTGACAGGATTGTAGTTGGAGTGGAGAAATGAGCGACACTGAAGCAAATGTAGTGCTGCCAACGACCAGCTCGAAGGAGAAAAAAATCTGCCTTTAAACTTGAAAGAAATAATGATTTTACGTGTATCGGGATAATTAGCGATATCGACTGATATGAAAGTTTTTATCGTGATGTTTTTGGCCATATCGTCCAGCCCTACTGGGTAGTGAGGAGAATCCATTGGACTGGTGGAAAAAAACATCATGTAAACCTTCCTGCTTTACGCAAGGTAGCAAAGAAGTTCCTTTGCATAGCAGCCACCACCTCCACACCAGAGCGGGTTTTCAGTTCAGGTAGAAACATTGTTACACGCCTCTGGTCCTGCCTGAAACCAGAAAAGGTTAACATGCTGGTGTTCCTGGCTAAGAACGTAGAGTAGGAGGCCTACAAGTGCAGCATGGACACCGAAAGAGCAACATAAGGGAGGATTTTATTTATTTACACTATTCATTTTAAAAAGCTATTTTCTATTTTTGTTAGTAATTCAGGCATCTACAACTTGCCTTTTACTGTAAAACAATTTATAACAGTGATCTTTTTCCAAAGGATGTATATCTTGATTTCTAGCATAATTCATATTGAAAATTAAGATGGGAGACATTGAGATTTCGTTTGCATTTGATAAGTATTCAAAGTTCTATATTTTTCATAAATGTTCTTTGTGCAATATGTTAAAATGTTCATTAAAAGTGTTTCCATGAATTATGTCCTTAAATTATTTGTAAGACATTGAGATAAGATGGGGTGTGTGCGGCTTCAATAGTTGTATATATTTAAAACATGATCTTCCAGCATATCATGTCGTCATATCATTCCAAGGGTTTAAAAAAAAATATCGTTAATTTATCGTTATCGTGGTAAATGTGTGAAATTAGCGTGATATTGATTTGAAGTCATATCGCCCAGCCCTAACTGAGAGGTTTGAGAAAGAAAGGCACAGTGAGGTGATCTTCTCTCTCATTGGGGTCCATACGCCCCCAGACTACATGGTCTGCCAGTCATGGGGACACAGGAGCAGAGCGCTGACAGGGCTCACAGTGCGACGGGATACAGAGCTCAGTGTGAGGACAGGCTCCCCAGGCCTGTACCCAGCTCGGTGTCCCTCTGTACTGAACAACCAAAAGAACTCAAGGTAGAGTGCTGTGTCCGGGCTCAGTTGGCCACAAAGCCAGTTGGGAGTCTGGGACACTGCAAGAGGCTATTTGACCTCACTGTCTGGAGGTCTTGTACAGATCCTGCCCCCACCCAGAGAGCCCAGTCAGACTCGGGAGCTAAAGTGGTAAATAAGACACCAGTTTTGAACAAAGACAAATACTTACTGACTGTAGTAGATTCTGGTTGTTTTCATTACATTTAGATTCATCATTTTTTTTGTATTGTCCAATCAATCTGGAACCTTGTGTTTTTATATCTTGGAATGAAGTTCTGAACCCTTGTGACCACAGTAGATAAAGCCCTGTACCAGAGGCTCAGGTCTGATGGAGGACAGGAGTGTCCCCAGTCTCCTTATCTCTCAACACATCAGGAAACAGAGCCCCATACTGGAGTCTCAACTCTGATTGGAGGACAGGAGTGTCCCCAGTCCCCTTATCTCAACTTATCACAGGAGACACAGCCCCATACTGCAGGCTCAGGTCTGACAGGAGGACAGGAGTGTCCCCAGTCCCCTTATCTCATCTCATCACAGGAGACACAGCCCCATACTGCAGGCTCAGGTCTGA